AAACAGCTGCTGAATGAAGGAAGTGGAGGCCGATGTCCGGTACGAAGATACTCGTTATCTTGAAGCCATTCCGGGAGTGTTTCAAAGTTTGTTGCTTTCCAACGAGCTTCCCAGAACTGAAAAATATTGATTTTTCTTTTTAAATGAATATCTAAAATTAACCCTTTTGATAACAGCCCTTGGTCCTTCTCCAGTTTCACTGGGAATGATTACTTCTTCTTCATTGATCTGTACTTCTAACTCATCATCGTCATCCGAATGCTCCAGATGAATTTCAGCATCATGACCAGCAGTGACAAATCTCCAGAAATTTGGCGGGGGGGTCTCGAAAGTCTGTTAGTTCTCGGAGTAATTCCATTGTAAAGCATCTAATTATGATCGAATGTCATAAATCTTGTTTTTGTTTCCCGAAATCGATATGAAACCTTTTCGCGTCGTTCTGCGAAACTAGTGCGACACACAAAGCCAAACAATAATTCGACATGTTGGCGCTGTTCATGAACAAATCATCGAATTAACCCTTCTTTCAACTGAACATTTGTCGATTGCAATGTTTTTTTTTCTCTTTCTGTTGCTTCAGCTGTTTGATGTTTCTAATTCTGTTGAATTTTCGATACTGCTAAGCTCCCCAAATCGGATTCTCAATTAATCCAAACTCTTCATTATCATAGTGTTATTCTCTTAGACTTCTATGTATTGCGATGTTATTCAAAGGATATTTTTGGCTCGTAATAACCTTTGACGAGTGTAGGCTGAGCAACTTCCCTTAGGAAGTCTTATATCAAGGATCAGTGATCAAGGAGGGTCGATATTCTGGAGGCTGCTTGACTTCAAACTTTTTTCTCGTCGATAGATGAAAAGAAGGATGCGACACAGCAAACAAGTCCTGTTTCCGAGGCGAAACACTAAACAGTTCTGTCTGTCAACACAGGCGAAAATCGGGCGGACTCTGTGATGTCATTTTTGCCATCAGACATTGGACTTATAACTGACCCTTTGCGGCTGCGGATGCCGTCGGTTTGTATTGAAGTCTAGGCTCACTATCAATTTCACTTTACGTCACGCGACAGATTCTTTCTCTTTTGAGACTACGAATTCTTCTTCTTCTTCTCTTTTCGCCGTCCTTTGCTTTTTTTCGATTGAACGCGTGTCTGCGTAGTGAGCCGCCGAAGAAGACACAAGTGGCTGAAAGTAGAAGCGCGCGCATGTGCAGACATCAAGAGGCGCCAATTGCATTATTGCTCTTCGCTAGCCCGAAAGCTCTTCTCGGCCACCCACTACGTCGTCTTCTGTCCCTCTTCTTAAGTTTGTGGACTCGTTACTCTTAGAGTTGCTTCTACACACACTTCCTGTAAACAAATCGGTAGTTTGTCTAACATTTTCAGTTGTTTTTGTATTCTATTCTATTTTCACTTTATTTTTATTAGTTAGAAGAAGCCTTTTATGTAGCTGTTGTGATTCAACTATAGACTTTGAGCGCAGAAAAAAATATGTCCAAAAAAATAGGAATACTTCCACGAGTGGACGGAGAATAGCCATTAATCATGAGGGATCTGCTGGTAGCTCGTTTGCGAAGAGGTTTCCTCTGCACACACAACAATCACGTCTTCGGCCAAAGAAACGTCTTTGTTCAGAGGATGCTCTTCTACTACTCGTCCTCTGCTCCCCCGTTTTCTAATTAATTCTTCTCCATGTTGCAACTCCTCTTTTACTCTTTTTCCAAGACATTATTTAACGACAACTAGTTTTTTTTTACTTTACTCGGTGCACATTCTTTTCCTCTCTCTCTCCACGAACTCATTTTTCAAACACAACCTGTAATTTTCAGAAAAAATGTCTTCTCCTTCCGCATCTGCAGACGACGTCAAACTGACGGCTGATGGAAAGATTTGTCTCGACGATCCAGCCGAGTTTTTGAAGAGAAAGCCAAAGAAGAGCATTCTGAAGATGAAACAAGACTCATCGCTGGAGGGCAAAGACGGGCGAGCGCACTTTGACGAGATGAATATTCTCGCAACTTATCATCCAGCTGACAAAGACTACGGTAGCATGAAGGTAATTCGCTTTCCAAAAGCGACATATTTACATCATTGACGTGTTCAGATCGACGAGCCAAAAACACCATATCATCATTCGGACGGGGAAAGTGAAGGCGATGAGGGTCTTGGAGTTCCTTCTACTCGCCCAAGAAGAGTCTCTCTTGGAAACGCAGTCGATCCGGAGAAAGTCGCCGAGGGACTTGCTCATCCAGAGGTCTTGCAAATTTTTATACTTCCACTTTCACTAACTTCCCCATTTTCAGTCTGTGAAGTCGCTCTCGTCAGCTGAAGATTCTGAAGACGAAGGAGATCTTACAGAGGAGCAGAAAGGTAACTAACCGTTTTTGATTAGAAATTAATTTCAAAATTTGTTCAGAACATCGTCGGGATTTCGAAAAGAAGCGCCGCGCTCACTACAACGAGGGCGCTGCTCTCAAGATGCATGCTGATTTGGATGTTGAGGAAGAAGACGATGGAAGCATGGAACACTAAAACCCCTTCGCCTTTCACGGAATAAAGTGCAATTGGGTGTTCATTTTAATTCTAACCTCATGTCTGTTTTCCCGTTTCCCCAGTTTCCTCTACTATGTGAAAACATTTCCCGATTTTTTTCTGAATTTCCACCCACCCACGTGGGTTCAAGCCAATGGGTCAGAAATCGCGCCCCAGTAAACGTGAGATTTTAGAAAACATTCGCTGCTGAATTATGTGGCTGAGGATCAAACTTTTAAACGTTGCACGAAAAAAATCACTCCTTGATTAGAACTAATTAGGTCAAATCCACGTCAACTTGGAAATTATTAAATTTCTTTTGGCGTAAAAGTTATTTGGAGCGCGTTTTTTGACCCGTTGGCTTGAACCCAAGTGCCTACCCCACAGAATGTTTAAACTGAAAAATTTTGTATAATACGTATATTTATTTTTCTCCTCCAGCCACCACCCCAGACACCCCCCCCCCCCCACATCATATTTTTTTTTTCATTCAACATGAATCTCGAGTTCTCTCCTTTCCAATATTTCTTCTTACTAGTTAGAAAACTCGTTACATCGTCACACTGAATGTGATACAAAGACATCTTAATGAGCGGTAGCAGAAATCGTGATAACGGCAGAAAGCGTAGAGCAAGCAGCGTGTTCCAGAAGTCGCTGATTGATTGATAGGTGCATACCGAGTAGCATTGCAAAATTAATAAATAACACATTGCACCGAAATTATGTGATCAAACATTCGTTTCGGGAGTTGTTGCCGATCAAATCCCTGCCAATTTCAAATAGACAATCTTAAGAAAAAACGAGAAAATATTGATGTAATTTTAACAATCTCCGACATCATCAAGCCTACACCGTGACTCCAAATTGTCATCAAAATCGCCAGTGTTCGGCACAGAATGGGTACATTCTAGTCGGCTGGCCAGCAGTTTATATTCCCGCGCTTACCCCGTCTCTTGTTCTCTTGTTTACTATTTTCTTCTTTCTTTTTTTTCTTTCTTACCAATGCCACCCTAACCAATGTTTTCGTCTTTTTGTGTGTGTACGCGACCCATCAATCGTACACTCTCCGTTTCTGATAAGGATATTTAACACCTAAAATCAAAAAGTCGATTGACAGTCAAAGAACAGGTTCGAAGAACCAGAAGAGTATATAATCTGAGCAGCACTGGTAGCATAGATCTATGAGATTCTCTTGAGCAGGTGCAATTTCGACATTTTCGTTTCATTTTTTATCTTATAACGATTATCAATTGAAAGCTTCAAGCAAACTTTATCTTTCCCTTTTCAGCCAGCAATGTCTCTTGCCGGACAAATAGCTATCGTCACTGGAGCCTCTCGTGGAATCGGTAGGCTCATATTCCTCCTCACTCAATACGGAAAAGAACGTTTCAGGACGTGGAATCGCTCTTCAACTCGGAGAAGCCGGTGCCACTGTCTACATCACTGGCCGTAAGCCAGAAGAGAGTTTGAACAGTAAAGTTGGATTAACTGGACTGGAAGCCACTGCTGAAGAAATTACCAAACGAGGTGGAAAGGGAATCGCTAGATTTTTGGATCATCAGAATATGGAAGAAGTCAAAAACTTTTTCGATGTTATCGAGAAGGACCATCAAGGACAACTCGATATCCTGGTTAATAATGCTTATCAAGGTGTTACGGTAGGTGGATCATAAATAGTCTGAAACTATAGAGATATTTCGATTTAGGCAATTTCTGAGAACATGGGAAAACCCTTCTACGAAACGGATCCATACATTTGGGACACCATCAACAACGTTGGTCTCCGCAACCATTATTTCTGTACGGTCTACGCAGCCCGTTTGATGGTTCAACGTAACAAGGGACTTATTGTGAATGTCTCATCTGGAGGAGGTCTTCGTTATCTGTTCAATGTTGCCTATGGAGTTGGAAAGCAGGCTTTGGACAGATTATCAGCTGATACTGCTGTTGAATTGGCTGTAAGTTTTCGATGATTAGATGAACAGAATTATTTTTGGATTTCAGAAAAAGAACATTTGCGTCGTTTCAATTTGGCCAGGAGCCGTCAGAACTGAACTTGTCGACAAGATGTTCAAAAATCCAGATGGAACTCCAAGAGCTGAAATCAAGAATGCCGAGGTTTTCGCTAACGGAGAAACTGTTGAATATCCAGGAAGAGCAGTAGTCTCACTCGCATCTGATCCTCGTAAAATGGACAAAACTGGCCGAATTCTGATCACTGAGGATTTGGGAAGAGAGTATGGATTCGTTGACATTGATGGTAATATTTAATTGGATATAACAGAATAACTAAACAACATAACAATTCAGGACTGAAACCACCAAATCTCCGTTCTGTCAGCTTCATTCTGAAACACTTGGGATGGAATACCACCGCCAATTTGGTTCCAAACTGGGTCAAGCTTCCAGGATGGCTGATCTGGGCCGGAAACAGTCGTTTGTAAATTAAACTGAGAATGTGAATAACTGGAACTATTTTTTAAAATTATCTTTTTGACAAGTGAGATTCAAATAAATTTTGACATAAATGTAAATTTTTTTTATTCATCGAGGTTGAAAACAAGAAAAAAATAATGATCATTAAATATTTTTTCAATCAACCCGTTTCTTTTCAAACTATTCACAAATTAACAACTTCGTCGGAACTTCCTTCCAGAAACATGACTTTTGGATGGGCAGAGAATTTTCTGAAATTATTTAAAACTTTATTATTTTTCAAGTCAATATCAAACTTACGATATAATGAGTCGATAATACCCCTTGATCATTTTTCGATACGGTCGGAAGCAGCACATTGCGATTACTGGATTTAGGATGTTGATGGAACTTGAGATCGTACCTTCAAAAATTGGGCCATTACTTTAATCATAGAAAAAATTGCAAACCTAGAAAGTACTCGATGAATTGAGGAGGTAGAAATTCTAGTTGGCAGAAGAAATAAATTAGAACATCGGCAAGAAGAAATAGAGGAAGAAATGCCTTCATTGTGGAAACTTTTCGAAGAGTTGTATGCATTTTTAGAGTCGTCATTGACATTGTTCGACGCTTCAGATCATGATTTTGTTTGTGTCGGAAGCAGTATACCAGAAAGTAATGGGGAATATTGGGGACCAGTAACATGAATATTGTGAATGGAAGGGGAGAATTGTAGAAGGATTCGTATCCACTTACTGTAAAAAGTAGAAATAGAAAGTTGGGTTTTGGGAGAAAGAAAGAGACATACTGAAGCTGAAGGAAAAGTTTTCATCGTAGCATCTATGAATCAATTCCAGAAGATGTGGACGGGAGAATTTGTAGGTGACATGGAGGACCTGGAAAATGAATTTTTATAGGATTCAAGACTTAAAGGGGGACCGCGATCAAACATTTGTATTCCATTGAAATGTTCAGAAAGTTATTATATTTCATAATATTTTGTGAAAATGTCTTGAACCCGAAACCTCTGAAAAACTGAAAGTAAAAGGTTTGCTAAGAAGGAAGCGAGTCGGGACGAGGATTTGAATTACTGCGCAGTGAGAAAGCTAGGCCACGGCGGTGGGACGCCTTTTTTAAATAGCAATTTTTTCGGTTGTTTTATCTCCGGTATTAAAAAAAAAGTTTGAAAAAAGCTACTCTCGGCCACTTAAAAGAAAGTCTGTCAGCGGCCGTGACCTAGGTTTCTCACTGTGCGGGAATTCAAATCCTCGTACCTATTCGCCACCATAATATTACTCTTGTCCGAAATCAATGCACGTTGCGGCTGAGAAAACAACGGTGGGAGGGGCTTAGCTCCCACAGAAAGAAGAGAGCACACCGACTGGGAGGAAAACAAAAAGTGCGAAGAACCATCTGGGAGGAAAAATGTGCATTTTTAGTACTGTTTACCTTCCAAAAATTTCAAACTTACCGTTTCCTCTAATAGGAGCCCACACCGAAACTTCGAGCTCAATTATCTCGATTCGTGTGAGAGGTATCAAAAAATCGTAAACTGACAAAATATTGGTGATATTATAATGAGCAACTTATCAGTTGACAACTTTTTTATATCTTTCACAGAAATCGAGATAATTAGGGTTCAAGACAGTTGGGGCGACTTCATAGCGCAATGGTGCAACATCCCTAATGTTTTGCGACTTCTCGAAACTTGAATTTTGAAATATTCTTGGCAAGAGCGTCCAAAAAACATGTTTAAGAATCTCGCTCTCTGAAAATCCCATAGTCAGAGTTGAATTTTGATAACATTTCAGAGTAATGTAGTATTCAAATCTTGAAGTCTGAAAGCCCTGAAATTTTAGAGTTTTGGAGTTTAAAGATATCTCAAAATTGATAGTTAAATC